CCTCCTCCTGTTCGTTCTTCTTTGAAAAATAAGGTAACTTATAAATGCGTATGATGGAATGGTCTCAACAATTTTCTGCTTATCCTCTTAAACATAAATTTATAAACATTTCACCACGAAGTAACGACTTTTTCTGTATACAGTGTTTAGAGGTTATGGTTGCATTTTGATAACGAGATTATGAGTTTTTCGAGATACAGCGTTTAGAGGTTATGGTTGCATTTTAATAACGAGATGTTCAGTCGTGTCACTTTACTAAACATTTTATTAAAAAGCAATGACTCTTTCGGAACACAGTACGTTGATATACTGTTTGGAGGTTATGATTACATTCTCATAACGAGATAAAAAAAAAAAAAAAGAAAGAAGAAACGAGTTATCATCCTCAAACTATTGTGTTAGATGGCCTGGTTTTTAAGGGAGAGTTAACTCATCGTGAAACAGTGTATTTTTCTAGAGAATCATGTCATCTGAATATAGAAGAAAGTCCAACAATAGAGGATTATAACGAAGAGGACAAACGAAGGATTGTTGGGTGCCGTAGAGACAGTTCAAAGTGGCAAAATGGCGGTGAATCCGGTGAATGGCATCTAAAGTTTGAAGAAGTGAAAAAAAAAATCTCTTGAACAAACCGAGAAATATATTTGATATTTCGAATAACAGACGAGACAGGCCTAGAGTTGAACAGCAAACTAAAAAAATTTGAGCTCAAGGTGTTTGTTTTTTTTACTTGGGCCACTCAATAGTCTGAGAATGATCACTTGTTTTTCTTCTTTTTATTAAGACGCGATTGAACATCAGTCGGGATAAGATTTTCTCTTACAAATGATGTGTATGATTTACAAAAATTTTTTTTTGTCCGTCAACTTTATCAACTTTCGCAAATATATATATGCTTTTCATCGATATCGATTATATTTAATACGTAATAGTTCTTAAAAAAAAAAAAGTGGGCCATCACTTTCCGACTTACCCTACATTTCTTGTCATTTCTTCATTGGCTATGTTTTATCATTTTGTTATATACATAAATAACACGTTTTTACCAGAAAGCAAATAAAAATTTTCACGCACCAGTGAGGATGATCGTTGGAGTGTTTGGCGTTTGAGGCGTGAGTTGTTGGGTGGTGGTGGTGTTGTTGCTGGTGGTGGTGGTTGTCGTAGGCTGATACGGCACTTGGGGACTCGTGCTGAAATATCCGGCATCCGCGCTGCCCAGCTCACCGCCGACGTTCATCGCGTCGTTCTGCAAATGAATTCCCAAAACCGGATTGCAGCCCGTTTGCACATTCTCCAAGTCCTACTATTTTACCATTAAATACCACTCGGTACGTCGGGCACCGTCAATTATAATTTAACGAATTCTCGCTCGAATTCGGTTGTCGTTCGTTCATTCGTCTACGAGTATAGCTGGCTATATATATACTCCCACTAAATCAATTAACGCGATTCGTACCCAACGACGGGCTTTCCCCACGAGAAAAGAATTACGAATCACGTGTTTCCTGATTATTCGCGACGTTGAGGAATCGTATTTTCTAGCTCGCTCACCTGTGTGTAATTCGTGGTGTGATTCGGCGAACCGATATACGTTCCAATCATGTTGGTCGGCACGGGCGTGTCCATCTGAAGCGAGAAAAAAAAGAGAAGAAAAATAAAAACGAGTGAGCCACCAGTGTAACGGGAGTGGGATACGCGTCGTCGACGCGATGCTGTTTCAAAGAAACAGCCTCTGACCAAACAGAAAGATCGGTAAGAAGAGAAGAACAGGGGGTAGTAGGATGGAAGCGGACAAGCTGACGATCCGTGAACGCCTCGAGATCCGCTCGTCGATCGTCGCTTGTTAATTAACGCATCGATCAGCTCATGAAGGGGTGATGATCTCATGCGAGGGCGTAGGAGAAGGAAGGAGAGAACAGGGTGCGGTCGGACATGGCGAGAGAAAAAGCAAGAGAAAAAAACGGAGAAACAAAAGGCAGATCGAGTCGGGTCGGATCGGATCGGATCGATAAGCGCTTTTATTTCGCCACGAGCGGGTAGATACGTTCGTGGATTCCCTCCTTGTAACGATTTTGTCAATTACGCTCGCGATGAAATGCCCGGAATCATTCGCGTGGGAGAAGAAGCTGCGCTTTATTTCCTTTCTCTCTCTGTTCTTTTTTCTCTTCATCTCATTCGTTCGCAAAAGTCGACGTTCGATTTCTGTTTCATCGAACATCGCCACGTATCCGCAACGACTCTTACGATCGGATGCGACACTTACTTGGCGGGAGTGAAGGTAACCGGTTCCTGTTACCGGAAACGGCCGAAGCAAACAGACCTCGCGCACCACCGCGAGAGGGGAATTTTTCGTATCATCCATCTTTTACAATCTCTGCATCCGCGGTGAACCACCAGCAACCAGTCGTTTTGTGAACTTTACCACGGCAGCCCGGGTGCTATCGCGACGCTCAACAACGACTTTATTAACCACTTCTTGTTAAATCACGGTGTCACGTGGTGCGTTTCTTTGCCAATTATCGCGCTGACGATCGCGTTGAGAAGCTGCGAGAAGGAAAGTGTCGTTGAACGTCGCGACGACACTTCGCGAAACGTTAGTTTCTTGCAATCGCGATCGCGAACGAGCGAGTTTCGATCAAAGGAAAAAAAAAAAAAAAAAAAA